GGCGATACAGGATTTTTGGGGGGTATTATTTTTATTAATTCTTCACATTTCCTGGTACTGTCTACTGTATATTACTTTAAGAATACTATGGCTACTGTTGGAAAATACACACAAAGGTTTTTTCCTAAATACTCCCTACCATAAAATACTGTACTGTACTGTACTTGTGGTGTTTTTCGTCATTATCGTTTTTATACATTTAGTACATTCACCGTAGGCTGCAATAGCATTCTTATTTTTTAGCATTATCATTGAAAAATTAAACAATATCCATGTCCCCTGGGAAAGTGTATGGTATCTATAAGGGTGAGGAGCAGGTTAAGCCTAAGACCTTATCAGTGAACTAAAAATAAGTGTACAGTACTTCATGTACATTACCTTTTAAAATTAATTTTGATTAAAAAACATGCATTTCTTTCATAAAACTTGGATACATTGGTGTTGTACTCTTTTTTTTTTTTTTTAAATGGCAGTCTTTTTGGAAAAATTTGGTCTAAGGTGGACAACCTCTTCTCCCAGACGACCCTCCCCCCCAATTAGTCCGCCTTAGCGAGGTTTTACTGTATTTCCAACTGATAGCCGCACTCTTTTGCCTTTCTCCCCCACACCACTTCCTTTTTGAGACTTCTGAGAGACTTTCAGCCTGATGTATAAGCACAGTAGTAGTTAATTAACCAAGAGGTAGCAGTGAATAACACACACTGTGGCAGGACACTGACTGAGCTGATGTAAACAAACCCCACGTGCCAAGAGGTGGAATTTAACGGAATCACGCTCGATTAAGTGAATTAGTTCGCTAAATCGAGCAAAAATAATGGAAATTTGATTCATCAGAAATTTTTATTTAACAGAAAGGGATGGCTCAAATTAGTTCGTTAAATCGAGCAAATACTGCACAACAGAAAAGTGATAATTTCAAAAGGAAAAGGGAACAATGCCAGGATGGCTTGATCACATGGAGAATGGGTGTAAATCTACAAATGAACTTCAGGTAAATGGGAGAAACAGTGAAACCCAACTGAAATGGAAGCTTGAAGGTTACAATTTGATAGAAGGGTAGGAAGGTAGGAGTTGACTGCATGGACCATTATGGTGGATGATGGAAATATTGTACATCATATTGAAAATATATATACAGTTAACCCTCACTTTACGCGGTTAATGTAACCCGGAGGGTCCCGCGTAAAGTGAGAAAAGCGTAAAGTGAATAACATAACATATGGGATTAATTGAAATGGAGTCCGGGCCGATCCCCAAACTCCACTTTTTGACGACACACAACTATGTTGTAGTAAAAATATTATCTTAACTTTATGATGGTATGCACACACAATTAATAATTAAGAGAAATATCAATAATATTAGGTTTTTTAACACTTACATTAGTAGAAAAAATGGCTGGGCACACGGGGATGGGCGGTTGGTTCCGAGGCAGAGGGCAGATTATTGGCCCTCACTTGTGTCACTTGTATCAATTGTATCACTATCCACCACAGAGGCTTGCAGGGCCTCTTTGTCAAACTCCCCAAAGTCCATATAAATCCATATCCTCACCATAATTATCACTATCACTGACTTGGGCCGGCTGTGGTGGGTGGCGGGTGAAGAACTGGTAATGTTTTGATGACTGGGCGACCTTGTGCGCACCATGTTCGCGCAGCTTACACAACATGGCGGATGGCGGGAGGTTTGGATCCAAAAATGGCGCGGCTCGCCAGCCGCTCTCCGCGTAAAGGGGTACACGCACCGCGGAATGTGAGCATCCTGGGTTCCGGCAGGGCACCGCGTAAACGTGGAAACGCGGAATGTGGGACCGCGTAAAGTGAGGGTTAACTGTATATATATATATATATATATATATATATATATATATATATATATATATATATATATATATATATATATATATATATATATATATATATATATATATATATATATATATATATATATGTATATATATATATATATATATATATATATATATATATATATATATATATATATATATATATATATATATATATATATATATATATATATATATATATATATATATATATATATATATATATATATATATATATATATACAGTGGGGTATGCTATTACGAATCTAATTGGTTCTAGAACCTTGTTCGTTATAGCATTCGTTCGTTATAGGATTAATCCGTTCCAGGCCCCCAAATACAACCACTTAACACTGAAAAATATAATATAAAATTGTAAAAATTGTAAAAGTGCATAAATATGCATGTAACCCCTGAAATAAAGAATATCATTAATACTTGTAATAAAAAACAATAAATTAGTAAAAAAAAAAAAAAATTTTTTTTAAATAATGTTCGTTGTAGGAGTTTCGTTCGTTATAGCATTCTCAATTTTATAGGTAAAACCGTTCGTTATAGGAATATTCGTAGTAGAATCCGTTCGTTATAGCATACCCAACTTATATATATATATTTTTTTTTTTAAACAACGCAGGCAACCCCAGCAATATGGAAGTTCGGCCTTTATGGAATCAACAAAAAAATAAATGCGATACGGACAAAAAACACACCCCAACAGAATTTTGGTAAGTTTTTTAAATATAAAAATCACGACATACCTGTATAACAAAGAAATTTGCAGAAATTATAGAATTTATTTTGTGTTGGTGGTAGCTACAAGATGGTCGGGAGGCCGCTCACCTCCCCAGTTGCCAGCAACCACAACAATGGCACTGCTCATTAAGAATTCTTTCCCCAACTTGTGTTCAGTTATATGGCTGTGCTCAGGACTGTTGTGTCCTTCCTCAAAATGAGTGGAAAAAGACCATCAAGCTCAAGTGAAAGCAGTAGTGATAAAATATTCCGTAAAGGAATTGCGTTGAACATTTAACTAGATGTTTTAAGGAGGTAACTCCCAGTAACAACAATTGCACCACCTCACCTCACCACCTCCTGCAGCACTCAACATAGTTCCTGTTGAGTTAAATTCAAGAATGTGCATTTATTGTCATGTTACATTATGAATGAATCATTGTATGTGTCTATTCTCATTCATGTGTATGCTTGCTTTACATTTTTGAACCAAAAACTTTTCCTTAGGAATGCATCTCAACTTATATAATGGGTGGCAATGAGTAAAATGGTTTAGCGATACGGAAAGATTTTCAAGAACGGAAACCTTCCGTTACCTGGGGGATGCCTGTAATGGTAATTAACTTATGTAAATGGACGCATTGGAAAAATAATTCAGAAAGCAAAAAAAGCAGAAATCAATGAAAAGATATAGGAAAACAAAGGCAGAAAGGTAACAAAAGTAACATGAGAATGGGATATGGGCAATAAAGCATTAATCCAAACATCATTAATAAAGATTTAGAAAGGGAGGAAGGGATTATGGTTTAAGGATGCAAGTGTTAAAGTAATATTTTTAAGATCTGTTGACACCTACCAATAAGAGAGATAATTGGTACTGTGAAAACAAATGTGAAGAATATAGGCCAAGACTCAAGACTGTGTAGTGAGAGGTGTTTAACACACTCCACCCTGAATGGATAACAAGAGGAACAGAAAACAAATCAGCAAAACCAGTGGTTTCCACATCCCTTCTCCATTTTGGTATAAGTTCATATCCTATTTGTTAGGACCTTTATAATCTGTTGTTGTCTGATAAGATTAAGTATCAAACCAAACACCACAACTGCATTCATAGTTGGAACATGTTTTATGGTAACACGAATGAAATTAGTGGCACTATAAGCAAGTACATGATGGGAATGGCCACATGCTGTGAGGGATATGTTTTAAAAATCAGAAAATAAAACCCAACAGGAAAGCTCTCAATGAGACTACCAACTACATGTTATAAAGTTGTGGTCAGAAGAAATCACCCGCTGCACCACCTAACCCCTGCACCTGACTGGGTCCTTTCTGTGCGGTAAGTCACGTGGGATGGTGAGAGAAATGGTCGACTTGGGGGAGGTCCGCTTGTTTGGGGTAGGTGATACAAATTCTTCATCAGAGAGTTAGGGGATTGATAAAAGCAGGGTAATTCATGAAAGAAGGAAGAGAAGGATAGATGTAATTTTTCCCTTCACTAAATTATCTTAGATTTACATGCTTAAAAGAGTAATAGATGAGGACCCTTATTTTATGATTATTATAATGTGCCATCCATTTCCTTCACATTTAGCTTTATATTTACCAACAAAGCTCCTACAGTCCCAATAGCCCGTCCAATACCCCCTCGCCTGTCAATCGTAGTCTCCCCTGCCTAAAATTATAAAATTTATATGAATTAAGAATTCAAAACTGTTTAGTTTACTTACACACCCAAAATTAGTCATTTTAATATATCAAATGCCAGCAAACCATAAAAAAATACTAAGTTCCCAGACGGTTAACCAACATCTCTCACAGTCTGCGTGGTGTCCCCAACCTCCTTCACGCAAGCTTGTCAGGAATTTATTTGCAAGACAATGGCTACAGCACATGTAAAACAAGTATTAGAAGAAACTGGATTATTCTGTTGAGGCCACTATTAACTGGGAGAAAATTGATTGCTAAAATTTAATTAGAACTAGAATTAATAAAACCTTACAAAATGTATAGCATACAAATTAATTGACTCCTACCACTTTACCGTACAGAATAAATAAGCGGTAAAAATATAAATGATACATGTTAAATGGTAAGAAAACAATATAGTACAGTATTAAAAAAAGGATCCTGTAAGAAAAAGAGAAAGGATTCTGTAAGTCCCTGCTTATTAGCAACTGAAGAAAAAATTCTGCTAAAATCCTTTGAATTCATAACTTACTGAAAATGTTCAATATGAGAGATAATACTATCTAGTGTACTAGAACAGCACTAATTATATAAAAAAACAAAAACAATAAATAATAATAATAATATATATGTAGATATCTTTAAAAACCATCTTCATAACTTATCAACTTCTGTATAATTCTTCATATAGAAGGTATTCAATAAAAGGTTGAAAACAAAAAACATAAACCAATGGAAATCTCCTTTACTTCCATTCAATCACTGGGTACAGTCGAGTCTCGGACTCCCAAGATCCAGCTTGTGGTACAACCTCCCTTCAGTCCTCTTGGCTAAGGCAACCACCTCTTGAACATACTAACCTTACAGTGTACAGTACACGCATACATCACCAATATCTCCTGACAAACTCTTTAACAAATCTTTGTGGACGTTGTGTGATCGACGGTACGGTAGATAAAATAAAGGAAAATGTCCTACCAAAGTCAAGTGTCCATACTTAATATATGCCGTATCGAAATTGGCTGAACATAAGTTACTGAAGAGGCAAGTCTTTGTCTGAAAATTAAAATACTACTGCAGATAATGCATTGTCAACAACTCCAATGATCAAAAACAAACACATACTTGTTGATGACCATTACTAGTCATTATCATTATACAAACTGCAAACCTACTACCATTGCTTGATGGCATATCAATATTAAAAATGGTTCATTAGAAATAACTAATGAGTCATATTCTTTAGCATTACATGGCATGCACTTTCAATATCTTATGATGTCCCAGAATACTACAACAATATATTTGAGAAAATTTTACTATATTCTTTAGAATATATCTATGTTAATGAATATTTACTATACACTTTTGAATATATGTCTTTTTTTTTTACTATACACTTTAGAAAATATAATAATGATCATAAAATGAAGCGCAGTGTGTTGTCCATAGCTACAAGAGTAAGGTAAATGTTATATTTTTCTCATATATGCAACTTAAAAAGCTTTAAACATTTTTTAAACACTCTGATTTATAAACAATTTTTGTCAACATTACCCACTCACTATGCAGGAAAACACATAAAACAATGACTAATGCTCAGGTATGTTGAGTATGTAAGAGTGGATAATGTGATCATTTCAACATGCAATGAACAACATCCCACCTCCCAATATTGATTGATATGGTGGGGTGCTGCAGCAGGCCTCGGGGTCACATCACAAACTTATGTATGGTCTTTTTTAACTTATTTTTTTCCTTCCGTTACTCTTTATTTAATATATATATATTTTTTTTACCATACATGTAGCTGACACCACAACTGGCAAACCCAATTTACACATCTGGCATTAGCTAAAAATACATCTAATTTCCACTAAATCACCTTCAACTTATAACAGACATATATGAGCCAAATCTAACTCATTCAAGTGCCAATTCTCAGTATGTAGTATATTTAGTCTGGTCCAAGGTCATCACAAGTCTAGAAACTTGAGGATCCAATTCAATTTTACTGCAACCTAATATACTCTCACCTGTAATGATACAGGTGTAGCAATACATAATAATAATAATAATAATAATAATAATAATAATAATAATAATAATAAAACTGCCTTTGCTATGTAAACTGCCAATCAAATGAGCATAATAGATAACTGTTTAAGAATACATATTTTTTTTTACCTAATCAAACTTATAATAATAAATTCAAATCTTGTAATAACACTTTTTAAAAGAATATATGACTTAAATGAAGCCTATAAAAATTAACTTTTGCACAACTTATACAAGAGTGCAGTCCAATTATCATAATAATATTAAAAGAAAAAAAAAAGAAAAAAAAAAGGAGCATCTATCAACTAGCTCTGGTTTACTTATCACAAGAAATTCTTATAACTATGAATACAACAATTCATTATCAGGAACCACAATCTGTCCTAAAGGACTCGAGAACCTGGAATACCGAAAACAAAATTTCAGTTCCCAGATATTCTCTGTTTGACAGCCCCTAGATAACACACACAATAAACTCTACATTTCAAGTCTTCGCAAGTTAGTCACAGCCAGTTGGTCCAATCTCCACCAAAGATAACTGCTTTGTCATCCAAACACACCAAATCTTTCCCTGTGACTGGCAATGTGTGTCTCATACACTGGTCACCCTTCCACAGATCGCATGAGTAACATTTGCATCCAGATATGTACATTTCCAAACAAATTTAATTTCTGACCAATCAATCTACAACAATCACCTCAACCAGTCTACAATCACTGGATATGGATATTTCTAATTAGTACATAAGAAAATCCATAAAAATCATGCTTAAATTCACAAATACTGCAATACCTATATGGGTTAAATCTTAAATTATTGGGTTCCATTGAATTGGTTTCTGACAACATTCCAATATGTTCACGAGCATTGAATCAATCTTGCACTGAGCATCTGCTTAATGCCAACTAAGAACTACAAATCAAGTAGCAAGGTTCAAGAGTTATTCAGTGGACACAGCATTTAGGGATACCAAAAGAAAATAGTGTGGTCACTGAAATGTGCATGCAGGACCGCCTTTTGGGGAAAAAAATATGTATAAACAGTGTAATATGGGGCAAACTGGATGGAAGGTTCTGATGCTGATGCTGCTATAACTTTGGTAAATTGCTTATAAATGCTAATAAACAAGAAAATTCCATTGGCAATTTCCCCTTTTATGAATGACCTTGTATCATATACTTCATGAAGAAGAGGAAGGCAAAATCTTTATTGATGGACACACCTGAATAATAGGAAATGGTACTGCTGTTGTAGCACTGACATCAATTCTAATACAGGAATTTGGGCAGCTATTTTTCCACTAACCATTTCCACTGAATTGATTAGTCTCCAGAACTAGGGGGGCAAACTGCTGGACATATTAGAGGTTTGTAATGGGAACTATTCCTTTAGATTTTATTGAAAGACAAGAAGATTGCATGTGAAACACAAAGTAAGCGGGAATAAAACAGCCTGCTCATTAAAACCACTTGGATTGAAATTTTATGAACACAGTTTGGCTTTTTTTCATCCTAGTGGTTAACAGTGATTAAATTTAGAGCAGCACTCTTGTGAGACTTCCTCCTACTAGATTTAGTTATGTTTTATTACCCAACTGACCTGGTGGGTTTGGGTATGGTGGAGATGTTTTTCAGGTACATGTCTCACTGGTGGGGTGGACTGCGGCTCCTCACCCTGGCCAAACAAAAGTACGACCAGGAATTGGCAGCCGGCCCTCTCCAGGCCCCACTGACGCAGCACTGGTGGGGCGGCCATCATCCATGGGCCCTGTATCCGATGCTAGCACCGATACTTCTCCCATACATACAAGTGGCAGGAATGTCCTTCTGTGCCTGAGAACAAGCTTTCTTGGACAGACCAACATACTGTACTTAGTGGAGTTGTGCCCCGCCATGCCCCCGCCCCACCCTCTACACCTGGTGCTGGCGGCCCACCCGCTTACACCTCAGCTCCACGATTGTGGATAGCTGTCGTGGTACCATTGCTGGTCCCCGCCTGCCCCGCCGTACTTGCTGCCGTTGGCCCCACTGTATGAGCTCAGCGGCTGCTGTGGGATAGGCTGGTTCCCCCAGCTAGCACCGGTGTTCTGGAACCGTCTCTTTGAGTCCCCCTCGTTCTGGTGCCCGCCATCCAACTTTCTTTTACCTGTAATGGATCAAGCTTCATCTCACTTATCTGACTGATCTCTACAATGGAAGAATTATATGCATCACAGGCTTTCCCCTGGCCTATTTCTCATCAAGTGATGGCACACTATGAAACATGATCTTTTAGTGTTGGTGGTGTAGGCACAAGATACAAGGGAGTGACGGCTCAAGACTCACCTGCTAGATTTGCCCCCCTGGCGGACCCTCTGAACCCCTGCCCCGCGCGCGGCGGCCGAGTCATACGCCCCCCCATGGCCCCCCCTCGGGGCACCATACCCCGCCCCCCACGGGGGGAGGGGACAGCGCCGCGGCCACGGTTCGCCATACCATACCCACGGCCAGCCTGAAAGCACAAGGCAACCCACAATCAGTGGTCAACCTCCCTCAACAATGCAGTTATGTTCAAGGTAAAACTGGGACTTCGATAATGAGGAAAGCATTATGATAGCAAGTATGCAGCAAGCTTCAAAAGGCTCTATAAATACTAAAGCAAAGTACGAGTCACCATCCCTGAGCCAGAGGTGTGGTGCATGACGGGGTTCTAGGGATAACTGGGGACAAGTTAGCACCAGGAATGGTACGGCACGGGGCATGGTACCAAGTAGTGATTGTTGGTGGACTACTCAGTCTGCAGTGCTATTATGTATTTTATCACCATACAATTATTATCATGAGAATCGTTAATCTTCTTCCCGGCCATGTTTTAGCCACCATAGCCCCGAGCTGCTGGTATGCTGGCTCAGGCATGGGACCCAACAAAACGTGGCCTCACACTTCCACAGCTCCCAAATGCTTGAAACAAACCTTTCTAAACACCTAGACTTCTTGCACACACTTCTTGTCACCACAATATCTTACAATCATCCATTTTTGCCAGTTAGGGAAGATTTGAGTATGTTTGGATAAAATCATAGAAACTACTTGCATAGTGTAACCCACTGTCTTAGATCAGTAGTACTGTATATAGTGCATAGTTTTGCTCCTCTTTTTTTTCTTTTCTTTTTTTCACTCTAAGAATAAACACTGCCAACAAAGAAATTAATTGAGTTGCTGAAGTAAAACCTGCTCTGAAACCTATCAGTATATAAATATCTCACAAGATTATCACTTAGTAAGGCAAAGTCAAGAATAAAGAAACATGCTCTCAACTTTTCAAATGTCATAAGGAAATTATTTGTCATGCAGCCACAAGAAGACGACTCTGGAGATGGATTCTGACCCCACTAGACAAGCCTCAACATCCAGGCACTGGTATGGAGTGTGAGGCCACGCCATGTAATGACACTTTCAATACTACAGTAACTGAGAATGGACACTGGGACCCACCGGCACTGATTTGGTGCGACCACGCCCCATAGGATACGGGGAGTAATCGTAATAGTAATCTTCGTAACGGTAATAGTCGTCGTAATACGGGTCACTGTAGCCACCTTGATAATCGCCATAACCATAATAGTCGTAATCATAATCTAGAAATAATACCAAATGTTGTTGATAGCTAGTAACAGTAAAAATTTAATTTCTTACTAACATCAAATATACTTTATATACTAAAGAGGGCATGCCGGGAAGAACTAATCAATAAAAAATGATCTGTTGAGGTGATTTACAGGACAAGTGTCTGTACACATTATACTTGTAACTAAAGAAGGCAACGAATAAGCCAGAGTATCAAGAGACAACTGCACAAACTGCATCTTCAAAGGACCACTACCAGGTACCTCTGAAAAGCAATTGGGGCCAGGAAGTTGAAGGGAAGAAGAGCAAGTCAATTCCATGACAACTAGTTTATTCTTTTCATATATTATGATACAGGGAAGTCTTCAAATTTAGTTAACATAAAATTTCATACACAACTACTTTTAGCAAGTATTGCCAATATAACATAAGAAAAAATTACAAACAAAACAAGCCAATCCATGCATATAGTTAAATATTTATGAGCAATATTAAGCTCAATTTGTCTATTCCATTAATACAGGGTTCTGTCCCTGTACCTTAATGTCTAGTCTATCACTTTGTCCAAAAAATAAAGTTCTTAAGTAGAGCTTGTCAACAGTGGCTATAAACAGGAGTAATAACACTCCCAAAAAGGAGTGAGATCATTAGGCTTGTAATTCAAAATGGCAATATAAACAAGCACAGCATTATCACTGGGACAGTCATATATACAACTCTCAGCACCATTATTTGAAAATGATAATTACAGTACTTGATGTTCTGGTCCCATATTGATGAGCAACTCAATAGTACCAACTGTAGTTATTCCAGTAATAGTTGTATCCTGTGTTCTTTTGTGGTCTTGGACCCCAGTAATAGTTGTAATAGTTCCACCACTTACCATAGTCACTGCGACCGCCCCCTCGACCCCCTCCCCGCCCGCCACGCAGCATGGCCGGGGGCACAGGCATCCTGCAATATGTGAGAAAGTAAATAATAAAATATTTTAGCTAAAAACAAAAAAGAAATAATCCCTACAATATTGCTGTGTTCAACGTGAAAATTAATTAACTTGTGTTATTTTGGCGTTATTCAGTGTAAATGTGTAGCATTTTTCTTCTCTTTTAAAACAATAATTTATGCTAAACATACTGTACAGATAAAATAATAAATGAGAAGTTTAATGCGTTTCAGGAAGGAAAAGGGCAAGATTAATTACTGCAATTTTCTATTTAGAAATCAATGTAAACTTAAATACTGTACAGTGTAAATGTTTACCTGATATGTATGAACTGCTGTAAATACTAAGTTGGTTTAGCAATGCTATTAACTGATCAGCTTCCAATTTTGCAATGTACGGTAATACTGTTAGTTGATGAACTCCATAGTCAACCACTGGATTACACTCTTGTAAGGTAATCACCCCTTTCTTTAATACTATAATGCCACATGGTCAGCTCTTTGTTCAGTAATACTGTACTGTACTGTACACTGTATTGTAATGCAGACATTCCCAGATCTATTAAAGGGTTCTATTCCTGAAAAAACTTTTGCAAACTTTTTTTCAGGAATCAGATCACATTTCCCATTATAAAAGCATAGACTGCAATGTTGCTAGCTGATCTGTTTCTTATTTAACATTGGTACTGTACACAGAATTTTTTCACTTGATCAACTGTTTGCAATAAATGTCAGCTATAAGCTGTTCAGGTCCCTATTTTGTAATATACAGTACAAGCAAACCTTGAGATACGATATCCTGAGATGCAATACCCCACTTTAATGATGGTTATAAATTAAGACCATCTCGCTATATACGATCAAAACAACTTGCTTTAACAATATTTAGTTACGGTTAACAAATTTATTGGCAAAGTTTGGAATACAGTTTGCCTATTCTGAGTAATTCAGTCAGTACATCCTTCTTTCCCCACACAGCCAAACTGTGGAATGCTCTGCCTTCTTCTGTGTTTCCATATGCAAACAATGTTTCACTTCAAAAAGGTGGTTTTCCAGAATCTTCGTGGTGTAGATTAATATAATCTTTTTCTTTTCTATTTTTAATTGCCTTTTCTTATTTTTTTCGCCCTCTAGGACCCATTGTGGGTCGATGACCTGTGTCCGGGTGGGCTATTCCCCGTGAAAAAAAAAAAAAAAAAGTCGATATCAATATCCACTGGCTGGATTTTCTTTCCTTTTATCTCTAGTCAAACTATGGGTTGCATAAATTCACATTAATCGCTGTCTTACAGACATTCCAGCAATGTAAATTACTGTATATTTTTCTACGTCGAGACAGTAACATTTTATAAGGAAACAATATTTAACCCTATGCATGACGCATCCCTACCTTCAACTGTAAGCCTACCCATGCGCTACCACACGGCCAACCTGCGCACTCCAGCCTTGTTTGTTTGTCGATCGTAAACCCGCCATTGCATGGCTCCAATCTCCATGATTATCAGCCAGCATCATACATTGTACTTATCATCAGTTTTTTTTTTTTTTTAATAAAGTGAGAGGACAGCACGAACATTTAGAATGAAACTGTGTTATAGTGACTGTGAAGTGAAATTTTCTGTGTTTTTGTCACTGAAAGGTATATCGACTGTTGTTTTGAAAATGTGAGCAGTGTCGACTGCTATCAATTTTTTTATCGTTCGCTCTGTTTTTGCGACAAGTTCCTTTACTCTGTTTTTGTGACTGTGAAGTGAGTAATGTAACTTTGAAAATGTCTGGGAAGGCCAAGGCACCCAAGACAACCATGTATCTGAGGTGAAGTTTGACATTGTTAAGCAGCATGAGACTCCCCAGAGGCTGTGTGGGAGTCAGAGTTACGTCTCCACTCCACCTACAAAAGTACCCTTAGCCTCGTAGGGGACATGTGATGATGGCCAGACTTATTCTTCAGGATGTGACGAGTGTTGTTTAATTGTTTTGTACTGATAGTTGTATTGTAGGAATTGTTTGGTCGGTGATACATGTGTGTTTGGGGACTGGCTGGAAACGTATCCTATTGAACCCCATGTTATATTGCTCCCTATTTACGATAATTCACCTAGCGATGGGTTTTTCAGAAAACTAACCCCATTGTATCTCGAGGTTTACCTGTACAGGACTGCATTGTTTTCTGCCTATCAGTTTCTTATTCAATAATATAATGCAATATTGTTGAAGATCAAATCTTTGTTTAAAAATCTATTAATGTACAGTGTTGTCAAGTCATCAGTTAATAATTCAATTTTCTTTTATGTACTCTGAAGTGTTAATAATAATACACCAATCAGCTTCTTGTTTCAGAAAATTCTGTATACTGCATTACGATCACCAGATCAGATTCTTGCATAGTATATTGCCTTTCATGTCATGAACATCTCTAAGAATTTTTCATGCATAATGAAGGATAGATCCTGAAATCACATTACAGTACAAAACCGAGTCCAAAACTAAGCCTCTAGATCTAGGTCTGAGACTCAAGATATTACTAACTAAAAACTAATGTGACAAATAAGTTTACCTCCCAGTTGCATCCATTGACTGTAATCTAAAACTCACATGAATTAAAAAATTAATATGTATATCCTTCAACTCCATACCAGACTTCCAAAGGTTAAGTAATCCCGTGCCAAAAGTACACAAACAAGGAAGAAAGCTGAAGATACAGTGTTTTGCTGCAATCCATAAGCTCACAGTCCACCCCCACTGTTTTTTTACAATGAATGCAGTACAAGATTAAACCACAAGGATCCTCCTTTTGGATCCAAATCACCTAAGCATCCCAAAAGGAGGAAGGGGGGATGCTGATTTGCCCTGTCCCCACTGTTAAAAAATGGGACTTCAGGAGCAATCCACCACTGATAACCATATACAGTACATCACACTGAAATCCAGCATCTCTCCAAACTAAAACCAATTGGAATTGGGAGGTAGCAGGCACAGTTGCTCACAGGTATGGTGTTCCACCCCTCGGTGACCTGTCCTAACATGTGGCAATGTCGGAATCATTTTAGGAATAAATCCGTTAAGTGAGGAGCACAGTTGCTGGTAAATGCTCTCCTCCCATTACCATGTGGTTCTGAGATGAGATGCCAACCAAATATCTGATAACGAGAATACAGTAGTTGCGATGGAAGTTCTTTATGCATGGTGGATTTAATAAAACTGTCAAGACACCAACAAGCTGCTTTAGTCATGATGGACATACAGTATGTCCAATGAATGCAACCAGGTTGACTAAGTTGAAACATCATTCAAACCATGAACTGAGGGAGCATGCATGTCCCAAATATTATTAGTCCCAAAACCCTTAAATAGCACCCAACATCAATTGATGTTAGCTATAGGGACAGCAGCCAGCATCAATGGATGCTTCATGAACCTTGCATTCCAATTTTTGCACTTATGTGGGAAGATTAGAGAATCCTTAACTGCCGTTTAAGGGTTAACTGACATGGCTTGAAATTTTATCCCCCCCCATTGACCAGGGCTGTCACAAAACTGCTAGGTGCTGAGATAAATTATGGACTAGTAATATGAAGCACTTACACACTAACCACCCCACTTCTAAGGCAGTTCAAACAATGAGAAACATCCCCCTCCCCACCCTGACTTGTGTTAGAGAAAGATTCTGAAGAGGCTTTGGAAAGTTTAACAAGAATGGGAAATGAAATTCTACTAGGTCAAAAGGGAGCTGTTGTAGTAAATCCAACAATCTGTTTTTGTTTCTTTACTATCGGCATTCAAAGGAGAAGAAATATACTGTGTCAATCTATTTCCATCATTTATAATTCTAGGTAGATGCATTCAACCCCCAGGGACATTCCTGATAGACAGGGAGGGGGGTGGGGGCAATGGTAGATAGAAAACCATATAAAATCACAAATTTATCTTCAGATTAAAACTCAAAGAAAGAATCCATGACTTTGGATCTAATGTCTATTCTGAAGATTCACATTTTTCCTTCTCACAAAGGAAGAGACCTGGGAGAACCCTGCTTTTTGGTAAATGTTCCTATAAACATGTAATCTATAAAGAACATAATACCCCCTCACTTTTGGTTCCCACATTATTGAGAAAGTAAATACAGTGGTCCCTCAGTAAACGAGCGCCTCGGTTAACATAATTTCGGTTAGCGAATTACCTTCTATAAGAATCTTCATTTCGGTTAACGAACAAAAATTCGGTTAACGAAATTCTTACGAAAATGTTTCGACATGCTTTGGCTTGCTCACCAGCTGGAAGATTAGTCCGCCAATACAGAAATCGTTTCTAGGGCTTACATTCGTTAAAATTGTTTCTAGGGCTTACATTCGTTAAAATTGGAGTAAATATCAAGAAGGTTGTACTATTCAATAATTTTCCAAGTTTTATATTAATTTTTTTTTTGTCATTTTAACACTTATTTAACATAATTGCAGTACAGGGATTTAGTTTTTGGTGTGCCCATCAGCCACTTCACTCACCCACCAAAGCCTCAGTTTGTATCTCTGTTCAGTGGAGGAAACATCTTGCTTGTGGGTCTCTTGAACAGAGTATTTTTACGTTTTTACATTACAATTATTGGTCATTCTGAAATTTATTTAACATATTGACAAAATATAGTGCAGTGTTGATTTAAAGAATATAATCTTGAATTACACCTAGTGAAATTAAAATTTTATGGGTGAAATGACAGCACCAAGCATGGGGTGATTTCTCTTCCACCCCCACTTCCTTCTCTTCTCCCTTCTCCTCCACCCCCACTTCTAATTCCCATCATCATCATCATCATCATCATCATCATCAACCAGGAGCCTTCTACATACACACCTCAAAGTAAGAGTACTTTACTGCATTTTTTTTTTACTTTGTATGTAATTTTCAGTGAGCTGGAACCGATTACCCAAAATCCCAGTGAAACAATGGTTTTGGTTAACGAAATTTTCGGTTAATGAACGACCTTCTGGAACTAATTATTTTCGTTAACCGAGGGA